GTTCGCGGAACGGTTGTTCTCAATGGCGGAAAGACGCTGCGGTTCATCTGTCACTTTCCGAGTTAACACTGCAGTGTAGAAATTCGAATAATAATAATAATAATAATAATAATAATAATAATAATAATAATATAAAAAATAATTTTGTACGTCTAGAAACAATGTGTATTGTCTACAAAAATTTGGGAGGAATGGAATACATTTTTGGTGCTAAGCATAGAAGGTACACAAGCCTTCGTTCCAGGGCTCTGCGTCTTAAGACAATTACGAGTACTTAACATATTCACAATGACACTGAAACAATATGATAGATTTACGTACGTATTAAGATAGAATTACGCATTCATGAAACACAATAATTTTGGAGATATAAGCTTGTAATCTAAACTTAGTTGGATGGAAAATGGCAATTAACTGTTAACAAGATGGGAAGGAAAATTATTGGCCAGTATTTTCTTTTGACTAGTTGGCGAGATTATTGATATTTATCATGTAGTGCATTATCTTAAGACAAAGATTTTCCTATGAATGAAAAACAGGATGAAAATTCATTTTTCTAATGGCTGTCTAAAAATAATGTACGTATTTTGTTCGAAAGTGTCTTCGATAATTTATTTAAAATGCCTTCATCCTTTCTTTCGCAAATATTAAACTCTCACTTTCTGTAGTAGGTACGTAAATAACTTTTTCGTTTTCGCTCAATAAAGAAATCTGTATGAGAGCGTTATTGACACACACACACACACACACACACACACACACACACACACAAGCGAATGCTATACAAGCCTTGAACGTTGCTGAACAAGACTACAGGAGAGTTACTATTTAATTTTTGTTCTTTCAAGATACCAGTAATTTCTAGGAACAAGAGGGATATATTGATCGTTCATTAATTTGTTTCTTGCGAACATTACGTGATGTGCAGGTTTATTTTCATGCTGGAAAATGGCGACCATTTTTCTGCAATTATTGAGTTATAGCTAATAATCCTAATTTACGAGAAGATAAAACGACAGCAATATTCTGATATATTCGCTAATAATCACATTCGAAAATGTTGAAATAGAAATGTTAGCAGACAATAAAGAGCAATAATTAGGATGTATTGACTGAATGACGGTTTCACAATAAAAATGAAGACTATTGTAATGAATGCATATTGCGTGTAAATACAATTGATATCTTCGATCCGTACTAAATGATCAACACCCTACAATAATGTTTGATTACTGGAATTCAAATGCTATCATTTGAGGCAAAATGCACGATGCGGCTATTCATCCGCATGTGTTTCTTTGAACTTTTCTTCCGATTTTCTGTCTCACATCATTAATCCATCGAGATTCCACGATGAATGTTTATCTCATTATCTTTCAACCAATATATTTTTGGGCAATGCTTATACCCGGTTCAGAGAAATATTACCATCATCGTCGTAAACTTCGAAGTTTATTCACTGTCTGGTTCTAATATTTTTTTCTCTTCCAGCTTCTGAAATTGTTTAGGTGCCAATGGGTAAAGAGTGATTGATTTTGGAATATTTCAATTCAATTGATCCAATTCAATCAATAATTGTATTTATATTCGAATTTTATTGACGACCACATGAAACATAACTGATTTCCTCTGGATCGGTGGTGGCCATCTTATACCTGTTATATAAGAGACACAAGTACGGTCACTTGAAGCACTCTATTATTTTATATTTTTCTTGATGGACAGGGTGTACTCCTCTACTCTCCAGGTAGGGGTTCTCGGCTACTTTAAAGTACACGCAGCGAAGAGTTTATAACCGCAGTCGTCGTGAACGGCAGAGTTAACTGACGAAGTCATATTGTGTTGATAACCTGGTTTAATAGGATCATCCCGCTTCAGTTTCAGTGAAACACTCCTGCTTAAGTTTCTGAATCAGCAACTTTTAAAGTTTCTAGCCCCCTCTGTAAACGCTGTGGCTCCTAGAGGTCACAGAGTTGGCACATATTCGAAATTAGCACTGGCTTAGTTAACGCAGAGCCTCCGCAGTAGCGTTGCCTCGGTAGCGACTTTGACCGGGGGATCCTAGGGTTTGTGTCAGGACTGTGGTGGATTTTCAACACCACATTTATTGCTAGGTTGTATTTAACCCTTGTGTAATATTCAAGAGAAATCTAGAGTGTCTGATATATCAGTAATTTTCCGTGGTCTCTTTCGTGGACCCTTAGAAATGAGTCGCGGTCTGTGCACTTTTTCTTTTTTATCTCTGTGTCTTTTTTATCTCTTCTATAATCTAGCGTCTTCCCATATTCGAAAATTCTCTTACGCTTACATGGAATCTCACAGATGACGGGATATATGACGGGAGCTTAGAGCTTCTCCTGATTGGAGCGGTGACCCGCTTGAGGAGATACCGAAAACTTGAAATTCCTCGCACGGTAACGGGTACCTACACACGCCAGCACCGGATCTCACCGTCTAGCGGAGGGAGAATACTGCTATCCTCCGGGATATAATATTCTTACCCTAAGGAGTCTAATATCGTAGCGTATATTATCGTAGCAGGTACCTTAAAAAGTCAATCAATCGAAATTAGTAATGTCGGTAGTGCACAGCTGATGGGTGTCTGGTTTGTCAACGCCTGTTTTGTGTGTGGCCACAGAGGCGGAGGCGGTGCGCGTGGGCGGCGGAGGCGGCGGTGGCGACGGCGGTTCCACCACCTCCGGGGAGCTGGACGCCGGCGACGCCGACGCCCTGCTCGAGGACGGTGGTGGCGGCGGC